GGGGGAGAGCCGGGCGGGGTGGTGCTTAGGGTTGAGTCTCCTGAATAAAGCGTGTACTTGGGAGTTTTCTTCTCTTGCAGAGCAGCCTGTGAGCCTCTGGAGAACAGCGAGGTTTCCGCTTCCTCGTGGGCTTGAATTCTGCTGCGCTTTTCCTCCATCTTCTCTGGTTCAAGGCCGCTGGCAGGACGTTTCCCTTTCTGACAGATAACCAAGCCCAGAATCAAATTTGGCCGAGAAGATTCCAGACCTGCAAGGGAACACAAACACTGTAGATGTAAAAAAGCTCTTTTTAAATTGTGCTTTCAGCAGAAACTTACTATTTTGTATAGCTGTAGCTACAAAAGCTATAAAGGTAACTGTTTTTCCAAGTTGCATTAGATGGCCTATTGGCAATTTTCATTAGGCCATAACCACATGAATCTGTATTTCTTTAATTTTTATATAAATTGGTATATAATAAGGAAATGTTTTAATTCCTTCCTTGATATTTTTAATAAAAGATTGCAACAGGTATGATTACTAAACAGTGTCTCTGCAAATGTTCAAAACAAACAAAAGGGGTTTGTTACATCGTTTTTGTTGCTGTTCAACCACCTCTCCCTCTCCCCCTGAAAAAATTATATTTACTTCTAAATATTTTGCAAATACATTGTATACACAGAGATACTGAAAAAAGCGAGAAAACCTGGGCTAAACTTTGTAACTATATTTGTTATCATCTGTGCTAAAAGCCTACATTGACATTTATACCAGTCTATAAATATTTTGTCTATCTTCAAGTTCAACAAAACCCCAGTGATTGCTAAAATGATAACCTCAGACTGTTTGAAAACATTATGAAAGCTTTTAACCCACTCTGTGTCTGTTTTTTTTTCCAGCTAGACATTATTTTAAGACCTGACAGGAGCAGGGAAGCTGGTAACAAAGCAAAGCAGCAAAGGAGAGCTGGAGCAGCCAGGAGTTTAGCAGGTGGGAGAAGGGGACTCGGGGTGTGTGTGCTTTTATGGCCATAAATCTGTTGTTTGGGTAAGAACCTGGTACACAAGAGGGCAATGGGACAGGAAACCCTCTGCTGCAGGGTTCACTTGGGTGCTGTCAGCGTTTCTATAAGCAAAACCCACTGTGAGCAGAATTACTCCTCTGTGAAAGATTCACACCTGAGTCCTTGGAGAAGTATATCCAAAAATGATAGGAAAGTTTCTAACAGGAAAAATGCAGAAGTCTGTAGGTCTGTTTCCTGTTATGGAATTTCTGTCTTTTACATGCACAGCTCCCACTGGCACTTGTGGAAGATACACATATCCAAAGTGAATAAACCCTTTTACATAAAGTCAGTGGCAAATGCAGAAAATCTGTATAAAGAAAGGCTTTTTAACTTCTGGATTCAATGACTTTTAGAAGGTCCTCAATTTGAGGACTGCTGTCTTTGCCATATATGCCATTAGTTATTATTTCCAGCTGGGAAACAGTAAAACAGAAACAGAGAACAATCTGTGAAGTAACAGGTAATATTTATGGTGGTTAAATGGTAAGGCAAGGACTCTGCCCTATGTTGCTCCTTCTAGTCATGATCCTGTAAGTAAGAGTTCTATATATACATACATACATACCTATACATACATATAGGTATATGTGTGTGTCTGTATTCCCCTTTCTTATTAAACCAAAGCAACTGCTCATTAAGGTACAATTTTTGAATATCTAATTATTAACACTGAAAACTTTTTGATACCAACAAAAAAAACCCCAGCCCCACAGCTGCAGAAGTATTCCACTGGCAGATCACACTCACAGATATATTACTTTGCTGGAACAACTGAATTCAAAGTTTTAAGGGGATTCTTAAATTTATCATCCAATGAGAAAATGACACTGGGTGTTTTCCTAAATACATGGCTGGTTTGTCTGAAACTTACTATTTCTCTTCAATACTTGCTGTGTATTTCATTAAGCAGTAACTTTTTTTTTTACAAAATGTTCCTCTAAATCACTGACAATTCTGCCTCTTACACTTAAACCTTTTTTCCATAGAAACCTTATTTTCCAAATAATTAATTACAGATAATAAGACAGACAATAATTTTTCAGATAAATAAATTAACTTCCAAGTTTGATGAGAACTCTTGACAACTGAGGGGAAAAAAACTCTGCTAAAATTCTGTGTTCGTCTGATTGTAACTGACAATAGTATAGTGAAGCTGTTTAAATCACTTAAGAAACCAGCAAAGTCTGGCTACAACCTAGAAATAGTAATTTTTAAAAAATCAGACAAAATTATAAGGAAAATTTGAGGTCAATCTGAAGTATTTGCCTTGAGATTTTCTATCAAGAATGGCTCTCTCATTATAACTCTATTGAGAAACAAGAATAATTAAATTTGAGGGCAAGTTTTTGGGAGAGAGTTATTCTGTAAAATGCATTCTGGCTCCAAAACAGCATTTATATCATTTCACAGCTCAGTGGTCAAGATTTACATAGTTCTGTCTTTAAGAGTGCATATGCTATTATAAATAATAACTTTTTCACATTGTAGTACATATTTCCTATTTGTATGTCTAAAATTCAGTGCCAAAAAGGTCTTTTCTTCCTCCAGATACAAGATTTCTGTGTTACCAAATGTTGCCAATTTTTACCTTCTTTCATATTTAGGAAAAAAAAAAAATATAAAAATTACAACTACATGGAGAAAATGAATAAATAATTCAGAAAGAAAGTTAATAATTAAGGCAGTACATGCAGAAAAATTCACTCCTTCAGAAGGGTAGTGATGCTGAGGTGTACCATGGAAGTAGGCAGGGCAGGAATTAAACAATTATGTCCATTAAATCCAAGGTTATTCAAAGAGGATCACGTAAATACTTGACTTATCCAATACTCATTTGCATCCACAGCCTAAAAGCAATTCTAGCAGTTTTGTTCACAATAATTCACTACCTTAAATGAAATGCTATTCAGAACAAGGCATAGTTGAAAATTAAGACAACCTCACTGGAAAAAAAAGATATTCACTATTTACAGCCAGAACAGACTCAGTTAGAAATGGTTCACTGTGTGTGAATTTGCTTTCTGTTTTTTCTTTATCAGTATAATGACCCTACATCTGGTCAGTGCTGACCGGTGCAGAGTATCTCTCAAACTGCTGTTCATCCAAAAACTCCAGAGGGCATTTGCTGTTCTCCTCTGGGTAATGTTTTGGTTATCTACCATGTAGAGACTTGTGATTTATGCAATTAGTCACAATGAATCTCAAACACTGAGTAATTGAAATAAACAGGCTTCAAAAATCTATCAGACAGGCTATCTAATAAACATCAACTACTGAAAAATCTGTTTTGAATCCCTGTAAAAACAGAGATCAAGTCACTAATGAAAAGAGGGTGACATTTTAATACGCTTTCAAGACAATTAATTGCAGTAGTAAATTAATAACAGTAGGTATAATTTAATCTGTTTAGAGTTTAGTCATCACAGAACAAATCCATTCATATTTCACATTTTGATACTGAAATTTTACACAACTATTAGAAGTTATACCCAACCCAGCTTCTACATTCACTCAGTTCAAAGGGATCAAATACTAAATGCTTCTTCTGAATGCAAACATACAGCTCGACCACCATTTCAATATCCATAAATAGATTAAGTGCCTAATTTTAGGTAATAATGAGAACACTGGCTGTGGTCTCCAACTATTGCTCAGTGACTGCCACAAACAAGCACTGTCAAAGTGCTGCAAGCTGTGCCAGCAGAGTCAGCAGCACAGAGTGCTAAATTATTTATAAAATAGTTATTATCCTATTATGTATTTGAAGTCCACATGCAGGTTTTATGGAGTTACATCCTGTAAATAAAGCCATTAATCCAGGAGATATACTAAATATTAGTATTGGATTAAGATTTGTTTTTCTTACTCTTAAATATATTCTTTTGTTCCATCAGCTTTACTAGATTTATGCATATAATGGCCCCATCTTTCCCTGGTAAGGAGCTACCTGTTAAGCCAGTTTTAAACTAGAGACTCTTTAATACAGGATACTCTTTAAATTATCAACCCCGTTTGAATATTTGTCCCAATTAATCATGACGACTCACAGCTACCACCTTTAATTCAGGGACACAGGTCACCTCCAGCACTGGAACACTGCTGCACTTGGGGCTTCACCTGCCAGCTGGAATTGGCTGCCCCAGCAGATGAGGTTCACAGTGGGATGTTCTTCCTCTCTGTTGCTTTTTGTACTGAGATGAAGACACCCAGCTCCATTCAGAGTGCAGGTAAATTTTGGTTCTGTTTGTTGCAGTTTTTCAGAGTTTTAAACAGGGTGAGGAGATTTCATGCCTTCATACTTTAAGAAAAACCACACTTCCTATTTTAAACTACCAAAAGAGATATATCAACAACTGGGGAATTCTTTGCTGATATATGGCTGTTTTATTAAAATTAATTTATTTTAACTTTCTAAGATACTTGTTACATCCCCACGTTGACACTAAATCCCTCAATAAATCACTTTCTATTGGCAGTTAAGTCTGACTGCACTATTTTCTACAAAGTGCTTTGTGACCTACAGATCAAAGTGCTCATGAGCATTCAGTGTGTATGTGACAGACAAGGAAATTCACAACCAGCAAACCAGTGCTAAAAGAGAATGCAGAGGAGCCCACCGGGAAGCAGTGTCTGAGATTAACGATGCACAGATATGGATAACCTATTTTCCTCTGGGTTTAAACCACCCATGTCAAAGCTTTTTGTAGATCTTCTAGGTGCTAGTGCAGGTGAGAAGTCCTCAGCTGTGTCCCAAATCCAGTCCATCAGAAAAGGGGGGAAATTCTTAACCCTTAATCCGTGTGTACCTGATGGAGCCGGTCGATACAGCCGAACACCTAACTGGGACTCCTGGAGTGGCAGGGTGGTTCCATCCTCTCCCTCCTCCCCCCTCCAACCCTCAGCTAGCTAAAGCATAATGCCTTTAGAGTCCTCACCACGTGCTATCTGAAGGTACACAATTAAATTTAAGGAGACAATGACCACATTCTGTAAAATCTTTTTATTGATGGTGAAGGAAGGAAAACACAGTAAATTCCATCAGAAGTCATTAAGAAGTGTGGATTACAGGTCTTTTGTGCTCTGGTTTTAATACATACACAAAAACAGAAAGACAGCTTACCTGAGTTTTCTTTTTTTTACCTCCTATACTGGATTCTGGTTTTAAAATATGAACACAGCTTAGCACCACTATGAGAAATAGGCTGCTACAGAGGCTTCCAAGACATTCTGATGGCTGATGTCTAAGCAGGTCTTTTATGAATCTTTTATACATCATGTGGCCTTTCTGCCTTTGGAATTTTGCTTCTATTACTATCCTTTAATTCACTTTGCCCACAAAAAAGTATTTCAGTTTGAAAACCTGACTTATAAAATTTGCCTCTACGAGCAACACTTGCCATGAGACCTCTCTTTCTTCTGACCAGCTCCCTCCAGCTTGGAAAAACCTTTGCTCTTTAAACTCAGCACAACCAGGCTGACATTATGAATTTCTGTACTATTACTCAGTAGAGTTTGTCTACATTTGCCAGCCTCCAGTCCAAGATAAGAGCTTCATTTGAAAGGAAATGAATGTGAAAAGGAAAGCTGGTATTTCCACAGGAATGCAAGTAGCCAACATTTAGGTAAGGGCTCAAGTAATGTACTAGCCCAGCAAAAGACTGCAGACATTTACAGCTGATTCAATGGCCAGGCCTGTTCTTGTGTGCCTGGAAAGGAGGGTGTTTGTTCTGTCCTGGCTGGAAAAACCAGTCCACCAGTTAAGACCCTTTTGCCTACATCCCTGCCACGTGTTCTGCACTTAGTGTTTTTGTTTCTTGGCTATGAAACAGGACTAAATTTTCCTGCTTTTCAAGAATTCAGTAAATTAAAGTCTATAAAGTGCTGAGATTCAATAATTATATTGCTATAATTTAGACAGCAACAAATATTACTGCCTTTTTAGCTATAGCCTGAAATTAACGACCTAAACCCAAGGACTGGTAAGCCAGACTTTTGAGTGTGATGAAAAAAATCTTGTCTGAGGATGCAGAGCAAGTGCCCTTTGCAATCTCACACAGGAAGAAGAGCACTTTACTATGATGTACAATTTGTTGTTGGAGTCGTGTGCTGCTAACGCGTGAAAACCTGGCCCAGACACTGTCTCTCTGAGAATGCTTTATTGAATTGAGTCCTACACTTGCATGTGGGGAGCAGAGCACAGTCAGCTTCTCAAAGGTCAGCTCCTTGCAGGTTTGCCCTTTTCACACCTACCGTTAAATATTTTGCAGACCATTGTTATGCCAATGAAGTCTTGCCTTCACTGTAACCTGCAGTTCTTCAGCTTCTCAATCTGCTACTTTCACATAAAACCTCAGTTATCTGGGAGCTGAACATGTGTACCTCCTCCATCCTCCGATGAAGACGACTTCAAATGTTGCCACAGAAGGTGTTTCAGAGCTGAATTCCTTCTCCATTCTTCTGTCACCATGTTCCATGCACACACACGGAGCAAACTCAAAGCCAAACATTACTACTGATAATTTTATCTAAAAATACAAGAACCTGCCTATACCAACTACTGTCTGTCACCTCTTAGCCATAAGGAATGTGGGTCCCCTTCCTCCATAACAAAGCCATGTTCAGAAGTCCGTGATCTGGACAGAGTTTGCACCAGTAAGGACAAAAGCCTTCCAACAGCTTGTGTACCACATTGCACGTGCAGATCAATACTGGGCATGAGACAGTGACCATGGGGTGACACCACTGTAAATATTACCTGTGTCTTCATAGATTTCCTCAGTCCTCCGTGGGCTGTTTCCTGCTTGATTTAAGTGACGGTGAATGGCTCATAGGGGCATAGTTTTGTAGATTTATGGGTTGCTGTAGTTAGGGTGGGGGGTTTTTTGTTGTTTTTTTTTGCATTTAGGGGTTTTGTTATCCCAATATAGAGGCTGTTTCACATACTGTATTTTACCAGTAAACTCATCCTCCTAATAGCACTTAAGCATCTTGTTGGAAGCCTACATAAATTTCAGACAATTTTATCCTGAACAGAGCTGGATTTCCAATTTTCCCTATTTGCATACTGTAAAATCAATTTTATATTAAAAAATTTAATAATTCTTACACTAAACATTCAACAATTACTTGTCTCAGATTTTTTTGTTTTGTGATTTTACCTAGCATTTAACCTCCCCTGTTTTGTGCTTACCTGGTCCCTCAAAGGGCAAGAGTTTGGAAGGAATTGGGTCCTTAGTACTCAGGGGAATCAGGTAGAGATCCTTGATATGTCTGTTGGTATTAGCTACAACACCAAAACGACCACGACTGCTAAAATAAGAGTAGAGAGAGATATAGGCGACTTCTTCTTCTTCTGTAGCAGGATGGAAACGAATCAAACACAGTTCCTGTAATACAAAAGCAAAGTGGAAAAATTCAACCTGCAACATACCAGCAAATAAAATGGTGAAGGAAAAATTCCAGGTGTAAAAATACAACGGACATTTCTCACTCCAAATAGGTTTTTAAGGCAACACTCTAGTTTTAAGAAACTACTGTTGTTCAATTTGTAATAAAACAGGTTTGTCATTTTCAGAAATACAAATGACTTGTGTATCTTACATCAAACAAAGCATCTTGAGGCTCAAGTTAGTATGAAAGAGATGGAAAATTTAGTTCCAATTTTATATCTGTATATTTGGCATAATTTTTCCATTTCTGAAGTGGTTTTAATAGCCAAATCTATTACATACATTAAATGGTAAGTTCCTTTTCTTTAAAATTTTAGTTTCAATCTTCAATACTGAATAGATTATGTATGTTCAATTATTAAAAATTATAGTATGAAGATCTAACTACTTTGCAGGGGAGAGATCTGCAGCTCAATAAACATGTTTCTTCAACAGAAATAAGTGGTGTTGGTAGCTTTCCAGGTGTTACCTACATCAGGATTTGCCGCTTACTAATTTAGATTATAAAAAGTTCTTAATTTATATTGCTGTATTTTTCTTCTAGGATTTGCAAAGGATTTGAAGTCAATACCTTAGAAAGTGAAGATTTGAGTTTGCCAACATAATCCCAGACTGTCTTCGGTAAGATCCTCCCACCAATGTGAATTGTATCTGGTAAATCCTAGACAAGAAGCATTACATGGCAGTATAAGAAAAACCAGAAGAGACTAATGTTTAAAAGCAGTGCAGGTTGCCCCATTCCAGCAGCCTAGTGAATAATCCACTATTCTATTTTAGCATTTAGTCATTCTTTTCTAACTTGAGATTGGCTATTTCTAGATTTCAAGGTGTTACCAATCGGCTAAGAGGATGGATGGAACAGAACAGGGCACTCCCAAACAAGGAGAGCAGCAAACCATCACATTTTGCTTTCCATGTGCCCATTACTGGCTTTGGTTTTTTATAGGGAAGCTGAAATACAGATTTTTCTCCACACTTTCAGTTCCTCAGGAAATGCTCCACTCATGAGTGCAAATGGAATGAATTCTAGTGAGCTTCCTGTCATGAGGAAATGAAACTCATTTTAGCAATAGCAATACCAAAATGAACCACCAGCCCTACTAATAAAAGTCCTAAAACACTTATTTGTGTTTGAAACTTCCCAAGAGTCACATAAAATGCACTTCAGAGAAAAACAGAGAGAAAAAGAGAAAGCTTATTGGTTTTAGTGCAAATCTTTGTCATGTCTCTTTGTTTGAATGTACACCCTCCCAGAGCAGTATCATCCAACTGGTTTTGTTTGAAAAATCAGTAAAAAGGATGTTGTTTTTTTCATAAATGACCAGAATTTTGACAAGATCACATCAGTGAACATCTACTTTGAAACAGGAGCTCTAAAACTTCAAACAAATGAAGCTGGAATAAAGCTCTTATCCCATGTTGGATATTAGTGTATGTATGAACATATTTAAAGACACGAGAATTCTTCACAAAATCGTGAGGAATTTTTGAAAGGCTTTTTAAACATTTTTGAGCTACTTTTCCTATTAGAGGGATCCCATTTACTACTGCTAGAGTTCTAATCTAACAGTCCATATACAGTGACCCCAGACTTTCTAGCAACAGGAACTGCAGTACAGATTTATTGCAACACACAAACATGTCTGTGCTAACCTCACTAAGATAATCAAAGCACCCGGAGACAGGATAAGCTTTAGTGACAAATTTGGCCACGCTCTGCATGTTAATAAATCCTTTCCAAATGGTGTTGAGACGAGAGAGGAAGAGGGAGGTGTCGCTGTCCTGAGGCGAGCGTGGCTCTGCAACACTGCAAAACAAATCCAAAGCAAAGGTTACAGGGTACAAATGAGAGTGATCTCTTCTTTTTCACTTTTCTTCCTTCCTCCTATTGATCAAATACTTTGTTTTAAACCAATAACAGAATTTTCATGACAGGCTTTGTTCATGTTTTTCATGAATTTTGTATTAGCAAAAAAAAGGAGGAGTAACAGAATAAACTTGTAACTGCATAGAGGCAAAAAGATGCCCAAAGACACGACGTTTGCAAAATTCAGTTGATCCTGACTCTATAACAAACTAATCTGAGTTATGTATTTCCAACTAATTTAGTCAACAATATGCATCCAAGTTTCTCAAGAATTTGCTATTTAAAAAAACCCTTTTAACTGCAGTTGTATAAGGATCTACTTTGCAATGTTTGTTTTTACTATTGTATGTAGCCAAAATAGGAAAGAAATCCACTTCTAACTGATCAATTGATTAATTTTCATTCATATTCATAAATTCAGACCTAAGATTATTTTAATATAGGATGAGTATCTGGAAATGCCTTTAAACCATCTCTCACATACACTCACTTTCTACATATTAATGCCCATGCAGACTTCTAAGTCTGCATAATACCTTCAAGTTTTACTTCTGAAACACTTCGTAGGTTCTGTGCTGTCCACATACACTGATGCTCTGAAAATTTTACCAACTACAGCAGGTAAATTAAAAGCCTGAATCAGGCTACCTGAACTTTCAAGTTGAACATGAGTTGGGATAGGGGAATGGGACATGGACCCAGGGGACTTGGAGATCACCACAGAAGAGGTTTGGCAGCTTGGCTTATTGCTAAGTATACTCACTTGACATTGGGTGAGTGATGGACCAGGTATCTGGGATCTGGAGAGGCCGATGGCTTTGTCAGTATTGATTTGGGGACTGTCATAACCGGTCTTGAAGTCTCCTGTTTTGTTTCCACTGCTGAGTTTCTGTCACCTTCAGGACCAAGACGCATGGCTGACGTCGCAGTGCCAGAGGAACTGCTCATTGCTGTCCTAGGGTCTCTGCCAGAAACTGTCACGGTCGTGACAACTGCCGCAGCACAAGCAGCAGGAAAAGCAGAAGCTTCTTCAGGTACAGAAGAATCTGTATTGTTATAGCCTTGGCTCATAGGAGCATAAGTTCTTTCTACAACTGACGGAGAGGCTGTTTCTGCTACAGGTCCAGCTTCAGTTTCCATGGCGTTTTCAGAGTCGGCCTCTTTGGCAGGCTCTGCTGTTGGGGTTGCTGCAGAACTTTCATACTTTGGCTGAACTTCTGCTTTTGATTTTGACTCCACCTTCTTAGCAGGAGCCACTGACTTTGTCTTCTTAGTTGGTGGTTCATCATCGGATGCTGAAATCTGACCTAAAATTTCAAGAGCTTTTGATTACTACATAACAATGAAAAAGTTTGGAGAAAAACAAATAAACAACACTCTTAACGAAACAATTCTTTTACTTTGCACAAAGTCAGCACTGCAGATACCTGTACAGATTTTGCAGTTCAGGTCAAAAAGATGGGCTCGATGTTGACTCGTTGTATCCTTCAACATACTGCTAAAAACATCTACAGAAGGAGAACTGTTTAAATTCGGTGCTGTTCGGGCTGACTCCTGCTGCTCCTAAAAGTGAATAAACACAAAAGATATTCCAGTTGAGCATTAATTTCAACCATAAAAAAATAGTTTGGAAACTGTTACTGAACGTTCATTCTTTTAAAAGAAAAAATATTAAAAGCCTTGGTTAAAGTATATAAAAAATATATATTCTCAAATATTATCTGTCCTCACGTCGTTCTAGGATGTTCTGAAGTAGAGAGATAATGTTCAGAAATAAAAGATGTCTCTGTAAATTGACAGCAAAGGTTGAAAAACACACATCATTTTATGGGCAATACTTACATCAGAATCAGACACTGGTGGGGAATCTTCCATGTTTACAGCTGGCACATGTTCCCGTTTTACAGCAGTTTTCTTGATTTCGTGAGATTTGCTTCTGGACTCTATCATCTGAAAGGAATAAAACCATTTTGGTAAAAAGTCCACGTATTTATTTCATATTTTCATATATAATCTTACATATAGTTTTTATTATGTATTTGATTTTGTTATCATTTGGCTGGTGGTAAAGAAAGTACGTTGAAGTTGAACATTATTAGTATTTAGTTAGGAAGAAAATGATGCATTACCTAATACAGATGGGTAAGGGTTGGCAAACTTGCTCGTAATTCATAGCTAGGTACATAGGGGAAGATGATGCCACTTACTGCTTTAGCTGGTTTCTCCTTCCATACAGACAGTTCTTTAGATAAAAGTTCTTCTGGTTTCATTCTTACTAGCTTTGCCAGTGAGATTTCCTCACGAAGGACACGGTGAAAAAGTCCCTGAAAACAGAACAGACTTGGTTGCCATGCTGAAGAGAATCTGCTCAGGTAACTAACAAGATTTGCAGTGCTTAACAGGCAAAACCTGCTCCAGTTTCTTAATTCTCTCTTAAAAACACCAGGTACTTAGAAGCAAATTTGGAAAGGTGCAGCAAGCAGAAAATAACGATGAAGTAAACACAAAGTAGGATTTTTCCTTATTATCATCAATAACTATTAACTATCAATATAACTGAAGAGGAATGTCAGAGGCTGAACAGCCACTCCCCTGTTTCATATCTACTGTAGAAATTTTAAAAAAAAGAAGTTTCAAGTGTTCTCTAGTGATTTTTCTCTTCTGCACCAGCACCCACATTTTTCTTTTAAAGCTTAAATATGATCACGTCCATGGGCAGTGTCCAACACATACTACACAATGTCACAAGAGAATAATAAAGTCTGTATTTATTTTCAGAAAGCCATTCTGTAAATAAATATTTCACACCAAATACCCAAGCTTAATAAATAAACATGAGCAACTAAAGTAGACTTGGAACTCCTAATTGGATGAGTTTTTTTTTTTACAGATATGAATGGCTTTATAATAATCTTTTGTAGCATAATTCACAGTCTTTGTCTTGAAAAGTCTTAATGTTGAGAGTATAATTTGACGTAACAATAAAATTCAAAAGTATAAGTTTACTGTTGAAGGAAATGCCAAACCTGGTTTTTGGGGTCCTTGAGATTGAACATGATGCTACGGTATTTACTCTTGTATCTGTTGTCCGTAACTTGGAACAAATTAAACATCTCTTTTTCAATATTGAGTGCTATTTTCCCTACTTCACTCTCTGTCATGACCAGATCATCGCTATCATTGACTCTGTTAAAAACAAAAAGGGTACGTGCATTTATGTTAAGCATGAATCTTCATGAATTCACAGTTAAATTTCAGCGCTAACCTAGGCTCCCCCTCACCCATCAAGGGCTAAAGACTCCTTTAAATGAGGGTCTGTCCTTGTTTATGTTGGCAGGAGAGGGAATCTCCACTTCAGTAAGCCTTTAACCTCTCCCCATATTTCCTGTACTGTCTTTCCCCACATCTCCAAACACTACCATCACCAGGTTTTAAAACTTCACAGCACCTGCAGTATAAAAGCTCCTGCACTGCAATGTCATTTTTCAACTGTAATTGCCTCAATAGAAATAGAATAGTGAGGTTTCTTTTTTTATTATAAAGGCTTTTTCACATGCACATTTATATCAGGATTTTTAATTTAAAAAATATATATAAACCTGCAATGCCAATTATGCTTGTAGTAATTTTTAGTATAAATTCAATCTCTCAATTCCCTTATCAAGACAAACAGAACTCTGCAGGCTAAACACTGACTTCTAGTCGTGGCTTCCTATAGAAAATAAGTGCTTTGAATTCCCACCTCTTCCATAAAATTTCTTTTAGGGACCGTCGGATATTTTGTCGAATCTGTGAGTTGGGCTGTGACTGGACAGGGCTGGCTGCTTTTGCTTGACTACTTCCAGATGCAGTAGAACCAGAAGACAGTGAAGGCTTTTTGAGTCCTCCACCCAAACTGGAAGATGGAGCTGTTTTTTTGGAAACTGATGAGCCATGAGAAAGAGATGCAGGTTTGGAAGGAACGCTGCCCTGTGAAGGCCAAGGCTTCTTGGGAATGACACCTTTGAAACTTGCAGCAGAAGTTTTAAGTGGTTGCTTAGTTAGGGATGTGTTAGAGAAGGATGGGGACTTCTTTGAAGGAAGATTTTTAGTGAGAGAAGACGTCTGTTTCTCCATTACAGATGTAGCAGCTTTCTTTGATGCTGATGCAGACTCTGCTCTGTCTTCGTTCCTTTTCTCTTCCCTTTGAGCTGTTAAAATAAAGAAGATGATACAATATTAATGGCCTAACTTTGTAACTTGTTATTCATGAAGACCAGGTACCAATCTCTAAAGAAAATGGCATTTTCAGAGAATAATTATCAAGCAGGAAATTGAAGCCATTTACTTCCACTAGCCTTTTAAAAGTAATTTTAAAGAACATGAAGAAGTTGACAAAGTCTTTTGAAAAATCTGTCTTTGGTCTTTCAGAGTACTTTGTCTCAGTGGCCAAATACCGAGTTTAAAGCCACTTTGGCTCTAAATGTTGAAAATTGTATTTAAAAATCTACTCGAAAAATGGGGGGGGAAAAAAAAAGGCACCACCTTCAAAGATTCCCGAGAGATTCCCGAGTAGGATTTCATGGTTCCATTTCAAAAACACTCAACATTTTCTCAAATTAAGAAAAAAAAAAAAAAAAGGTAATACAACCCACATTTTACATTTACACCAAAAAAATTCTCGTAGCATCTTACAGAAAGTTTATTACAGAGCCTGACGTGATGGTAGAGTCTATGAGTTTGAAACTTCATTAATATTACCTTTCGTATTATTTAAGTTTAATAAACCCTTTCACCCAGATTGTTTATTTTAAAGAGCAAGCAAAGACAGAGAAATTATATAGAACAGAAGTTGCTTAAAAAATTTAAATACATAATCCACTTGGTTGCTAGCATGAACATCATACTGATGATGTTGCCATAAACTATTATTAGATCTTCCTGTTCAGTTCCCAGCTAAATTCTAGATTTACAGATAATTAAACATTCATATTACTAATCAGACTGCAGCCATCTCATTATCACCATTCTCAAACTGGGCCCTTCACAGTATTCACTTTCCATTTAAATATATTTTTCTAATCTTAACAGAATAATTGATGTGCATCATACACAAGAAAATTAACAGAGTGTAAGCAAAGGCTCCAGTTTTCACACATGCTGAAGTTGCACAGGACTTTAAAACTGAGCATTTCTCCCCAGTCCACCTTCTGGCACACCTTTCGCCACCCAACAGAGCAAAAAAAGCCAAAACCAAAAGGACACACCCACAGCAACCAGCAAAGAAACCATTTACGAGACACTGAGGCTACCGCGGGTTGACATGAGCACATTTATCCCAACAGCTCCAGCAGGGAAGGATTCTTTGGGAAATGACCAAAAACCAACTCCTAAGCCAAGTTTCTTTCCAAAAAGCCTTTTTTCTCACAAATCTGTAGATAACCACTGAGCAGTTAACCAGCCAAATTTTAACCTGATGTTTTTAGCTGGTAAAGGTTTGTAGATTAATCGGCTCAGCAGCCTTAGCTGCAAAATACAGGACACTTCCTGGGAAAAGGCCAGGAATTTAACTTTTGGTAAGTTCATCAAGTAGCAAATGGTCCCTCTTCATGTTCCAGGTCTGCTATAAGGAGAGCAGAAATTACTAGGAAGGGGCCAAATTGTCCAGTGTATCTGTTCTGAGGTGGACTTGGAGATCAAGCTCTCCTGGGAAGTCTGCCTCATGAAATGCCACAGATCAGCACAAGCTTCCCATGCAGACAGCCCTCAAACCAGGAGAGATTTGGAAAGCTTAAGAGATGTCACGATACCCCTCACTCTGGGGGGAAAGGTCCTCAAAACCCTTCTCCACTCTTGGAGTTCAGGATGTCAGCAGATGCTTCTAACCCCAGTTTCTTTAAATGAGCTCTTCCCATCGGCAGTTCCACCATAAACAAGAAACTGGTGGTTAAAATAAACCAAGGACCTACACTGGACTTGAACTTTCAGAGGGCTAAGTAAAAGGGTGTGCTGTGAACGTCTGCTGGAACGCAAGGAGAGGCAGTCAGAAGATCCAGGAACCATTTATCCTGATTTTTTTTCCCCTCAAACTATTTTATAAGTAGACAACTTGAGGAATTTTTCTGAGATTTAACTATTTGAAGTGTAAAATCAAACCATCTGTCATAATACATTAACCCATTTCAAAGAATGTGAAGATTTTGCTATAAAACAGATTATTACTCTCACACTATTCCCATAATTTTTCCTAAAGATTGGTCTTGGCTCCTGTCAGACTGAGCAAGGGAGACCTTCTGTGTGACCCACAATGTTGCTCCTCATGAACCCAGCCTCCCTACCCCACTACCACTCGAGTTGTCAGGAGGGCTTTGGGAAGCCCAGCAGGGAGGAAGGCGTTCAGGAACTATTGCTGATGGCTTTTATTTGATCAAATTCAGCACCCAGAGCTTAAGAGAGGTGAAAAGTCAACCTAATTTAAGAGTTCCGAGTAAAGAGAAGGCAAATATCCAAAGTGTGCACCCTGATAACGCTGCACGAATTACTCTCCTTCCATTCCCTTTTTCCTGGTTTATTGTCTCTTCTGCACAGAACTGTAACTTTTTGGGCAGGCAGGACAGAAGGCACAGCTCAGGTTTCAAAATCATGACAGGAAAATTCACTCATTTAGTTCTTTTGGTTTACAGCAGAGGCACAAAAAGTGAAATTTAGAATTTGTATTTAATCCACTACACGCTATCTTTTTAAATGATTGGTTCAAATTAACAAGAGCTACATTGATAAAACTAAAAACAGCACAGCCAAGATGTTTTGTGCCAATCAGATGTTGTGTATACAAGAACTATATCCACGCTGGAAACCTTCCTACGTTACAAACAGCTACACCACAGCAAAGGGCAGGTACCTGTCAAATAACCCAGTGCAAAGGCAGAGTGAAGCCCCCGGAGCTGAAGGGCAGCAGAAGCAGCATCCAAGACAGATGCAGAAGCATCCTTTATTCTGCAAGTTTACATCATGACTATTTAGAAAGGTTTCCAGAGTAAGGCACATATCCTGGGCTTTTATAGCCAACAGAAAACGTACAAGTTATTTCACCAGCTTTGTGAAGGTCTGTTTCAAACCACAATGCACTTTATACCAATTACAACTGTCTACCTGCCAGTACTTGTTGACTAGAGGAACAGTTGGTACAGATTTTGTGTGTACTAATTCAGACACACATAGGTGCTTCAGAACATCTACCAGCTACTTTTTCAAATTAAGGACATCACTGTTTGAAGGAGACTGTCAAATTGTGTGCATGTTTTTACAGAGAATTGAGACTACTTAAACCCTACACATGCAAATAACCTCTGACAGCTGTAGATGAACCTAGTTAAAAAAAAAAAACAAACCCAAACATTTTGACTGTGAGAAACCAGAATTTCTGTCCTATCAAGTTTTGGGTTTCAGTGAGAAGATTCACGTGGTGCTGCGTAGTTCAGCTGAACCAACTCACTGTGTCATCACATGAGTCTCGGATCCAACGCACAGGAGCAGGCAGCTGAGGGAGGAAGGAGCTGCCTCTTCTGCTGGCAGCTCGCTCTTCGAGTGACTTAGTGGCCAGACGAGCCCAGCTCAGAGCTACGCTGTCTTCTGCTCGGTATGAAACTACAGCAAGTGTACATTTGGAAGAGTTAAGAGAAGCATGGACTCTTTTGCAAAGCAGCATGCCAGCAGAGGTGGGGCTGAACTTCTGAACAGATGCCACAGTTGCTCAGCAAACTGAGAGGACATAAAATGGAACAGGTATTCTCAGAGACCACAAGTTTCACATCACTTGGCCTTGCAGTCCACCAACAACTTGATGAGAAGACGCAGTCAATGCCCACTATACACACTGGCCACTATGTTTTATACTGTGATGTTTTGGGTCCTTTTCATCAGTAGCTCCAGTGTATCTACAATAAATGCTCTTAAACATAATTAAAATACAGGGATGGAGACAAGGACTGACCATTAACTTATCCAGCCTAACAGAGGAACAGGGAGTTTCACCAGATTTGTGCCAACATAAGGCATTTAGTGGCTCCTGTGTTTGAACACACAGAGGTACTTCCCTTGGCTTCACGTCAGAAAAGGGCTGAAAACAAACCAGAACATTCCCGTTTTCCCCATTTTGTCCCGTGAGCCACTTCTTAGGACAGCAACAGGATCTTGCTGCCTGAAGAGAGGCACGGGCTGAAACGACTGAGAGGTGCCGGTGGAGCTCCCGAGTCAGCTCATTTCCCGAGGGAAATCCAATGAATCCTCAGGCAGAAAGAAGTGCATTCCTTGCAAGGCCTAACAAACAGCATTCCTATGGCATGTTCCCTGCAGGCGTAGCTGTAATATCTCCCACTAGATGCCAACAGATGCAGAGGCCTCCCCGAGGAAGTTCCCCAGGAGGCCAATCCCAGTGTTACACCATATGCAGCCAAGACCAGAACTCCTGCAGGCGGCGGCGGCCAGAACTGCCAGTTATCTGCTGCTACCAGGGGCCTGCTGCAAGCCTGGAGGTCACACAGCCTTCACTGTTGTACCTCTCAGTGCTGACGTTTCAGGGCTGTAACGTGCTTTTTGAGACCAAATTTAAGAATGATTTCCACAGTGTAGCACTGTTTACTTTTGTGTGAAGGATGTTCAAGTTACGCTCCTATCACAACGTGGTGTTTTACACCACCAGCACAGAAATCACCCAAAGCAAACCTCACTTCTCTGAGCTCTTAAAGAGATTTCTGTGTTGCATTCAAGCCTGTGCTGGTTCTTCCTCCTTTCTCTCTACACCAACTCCTTCTTTGGAAGAGTAGAATTAGAAAACCAAAAATGCACCCCCACCACAAATTTGCAGTTCAAAAATACACCCTCACCACTCCTAGCTTCTATTTAAATTGTCTCATTTGTGATGGGTTATTTTGCTGGACACATTTATCTAATTTTCCTAACTTTTAAATATCTGAATAAATTATTACTTGAGATATTGCTTCTTACTTTTGTTTGTAGTTTTAAAATTATTCAAATCATACTTTAAAGATCTTCAATCTCTTGCTCTAATTGCCGCCAAGTTTTAAACAATGCTGTAGAAAAACCACAGGCAGCTATACTTCAAGAGTGTTTTGTAAGGAGCCTGTAAGGCTCAGATATTCTTCCCTGAAAGGTTTTTGCACCAAAAAACCATCCCAACTACTACTACAGA